TTGATTGGACTATGCGTAGACTCGTTAATCCAGCCAAAATATAACTCCATAATTCCAGCCTAGTTCGGCAAGGGTGGAAACGGGAAGATGGACGTGATCAACCTTTTCACACATGGGTGTCCAAACTGTACAATGACTCGTGGTTTATGAGTTTAAATGTTGAATTTGTCGATTCCATTGTTTGGGCTACTCTGAATACCAATAAAACCTTGGTGCTTTTACTTAAGGTACGTACTGTACATCATTATGCGAGGTTTGTAAACCGAGTGATTAAAGCGTTCGTCGCCAGGATGCTGATCCGATTTGATCCGTAAAAGGATATATCGTGTGAAAACATTTCTGTGTGTCCCTTGACACTTGCAATGTTGTCCAATGTTATCTTTTCCCTAAAATCAGCGCCCCTGCACATATTCCCTAACATGTAACTCCGAGGATAGAGGGTCTGCCCAGAGAGTGGAAGGTCGGTGGTTCCTGACCGCATCATTCCTAAAGACGTTAAAACATGTTGTTACCCTGCCGCTCAGCATTAACGGAATAAAACAAAGACTGGTCGGCTCAGATATAATGTGAGTGGGGTATCAAGGTTAAAGTGCTGCATGGTACCTCAGTGTGGAAGCACTAACAGACCGGTCTAGTCCAACAGCTACATACACACGTGCGTGCACGTATGCGTCAAATAACCTTGAACGCGACGTTAAACCCCATTTCAGCTGATCTCACCTCCAACGCTTGATAATATAAGCCTTCGATTGTTTTTCAACAGGTATCGCCTTACCAAGGGGCACTGGGGCAGTACATGTGGCACAACCGTGACCGCAGCAACTACTCCGTCGACATCCTCTGCTACAGACAGAGCCTGAAAACGGTATCTGGTAAACGTTGTACATTAACATTATATGTACTACTACTACTACTACTACTACCACTACTACTACTACTACTACTACTACTACTACTACTACTACTACTAATTGTCGTAAGAGGCGACTAACGGGAACGGGTGGTCAGGCTCGCTGACTTGGTTGATGCATGTCAGCGTATTGCAATTGCGTAGATCGATGCTCATGATGTCAATCAGTGGATTGTCTGGTCCAGATTCGATTATATACAGACCGTCGTCATAGAACTAGAATATTGCTGGGTGTGGCGTTAAACAACAAACAACCAAACAAACGAAACTACTACTACCAATAAGTACATTATCATGCTCTATCTTCCACACTATTACCCTGGTCAATACCATTCTCGACTCCATTGGGAGTATACACCCCAAGCTGACTATTAGGCACAAGAAGGAAACGAAGTTATCATACTTGTGGCCAGTGGGTCCGACGTGTGTATCGTAATGGGAGGATGGTGGATATTTGAACTCGAAGATGCATGAACTCTTTTCCTGAGCGACACATCATGCTGACAATAACGATAAATTCTACTTACTCATTAATGTGGTTGGCATTGCAGGTGGGTAAGTGCACCTTCATGAATGGCACGGCGAAGATTCGGATGAAGAACGTGACCGTACATAACAGCGCTACTCGGGGCAGTCAGTGGGTGGAAAAGCTGAGAGTCGTGGCACGCTTAGTAAGCAGTTTCAGATCATCTGAGTGAGTGAGTGAGTGAGTGAGTGAGTGAGTGAGATAGTGAGTGAGTGAGTGCGTGACAAGTAATTATCTGCGGAGTAACAGTTGAAGACATGGTTCAAATTTTTTTGATAAAAGGGGCACAACTCTGTAGAGCCACATAAAACAGTTGACGACATGGTTCGTACCGATTGTTTAAAATTCTGTGATAACCTGATAATGTTTGTGTATGAAATTAGATACATTCGACATTATTTGATAAAAGGCTTGGATTGAAACATTTAAAGAAGGAAGGTAACATATCATCTGCAATATGTTCACCTTTATGTAACACATTAAAAATATTGTTGTCTTGTTGCTGGGCCTGGACCAGATCGGGGTTGTTTTCATTTGTAGACAATGTAACAATGTTGTATCTGCAGCGCGAGCCCTTTGTGATGAAGAACTTCGAGGGGAAGTACGAAGGTTTCAACGTCGACCTTCTGGAGATGATCTCGAGGAAGGTGAACTTCACCTATGAGATATACGACGTCGAAGAAAGCGCCCACTTTAACAAGTCTGACGCTATGGTTGTGGAGCTTCTCACGGGGGTACGTCAGCCACGCCATAACGCTACCAGTACCTTCGTAAACAGCCATATTCGGGAATAATGATATTCATATGATTTAGTTCATTGTAGACGAGAACGGTAAGCCTACATGTACGCGAGTTTACTTGCGTTATGATAATATAGAAGGCACTCTTATCATTTGGAAACAACATGGCCGTTACGACTAAATACAAACAAAATATCAATGACAGTTACAACGCTATGTCATTTAATGTGATAACAAACAGGTACATAGGTCCCCAGCAAAATAGGAACATGTTTGTCGTAAGAAGACACTTGATCGATCGGGTGGTCAGACACTTGATGGATTGGGTGGTCAGACACTTGATGGATTGGGTGGTCAGACACTTGATGGATCGGGTGGTCAGACACTTGATGGATCGAGTGGTCAGACACTTGATGGATTGGGTAGTCAGACACTTGATGGATCGGGTGGTCAGACACTTGATGGATTGGGTGGTCAGACACTTGATGGATTGGGTGGTCAGACACTTGATGGATCGGGTGGTCAGACACTTGATGGATCGAGTGGTCAGACACTTGATGGATCGGGTGGTCAGTGACTTGATGGATCGGATGGTCAGACACATGATGGATCGGGTGGTCAGACACATGATGGATCGGGTGGTCAGCCAGATGATGGATCGGGTGGTCAGACACATGATGGATCGGGTGGTCAGTGAACACCAGCCCCCTCGCCCAGATTATTGAATGGTCGTTCCTAACTGACCGTGATCCATTTTCAGAATGCTTCCATGGCTATTGGGGACCTGGAGGTGACGGCGGAGACTGAGGAGGTGATCGCCTTCTCCCACACAATCCTCTCCACCACCGCCAGCATCCTGTCCAGAAGGGCCACCAACTCCAAGACCTACTTTCTCTTCCTCGGACCCTTCTCCATGGGTACAGCTCCTTTAACTTTCTGCATTGGTGAATTGGAGGTCCTTTAACTTTCTGCATTGGTGAAGTAGAGGTCCTTTAACTTTCTGCATTGGTGAAGTAGAGGTCCTTTAACTTTCTGCATTGGTGAAGAAGAGGTCCTTACTTAATGTATTGGTGAAGTAGAGGTCCTTGCTTTCTGTATTAGTGGAGTAGAGGTCCTGACTTTCTGTATTGGTGAAGTAGAGGTCCTTACTTTCTGTATTGGTGGAGTAGAGGTCCTTACTTTCTGTATTGGTGGAGTAGAGGTCCTTACTTTCTGTATTGGTGGAGTAGAGGTCCTTACTTTCTGTATTGGTGAAGTAGAGGTCCTTTAACTTCCTGTAATGGTGAAGTAGAGGTCCTTTAATTTCTGTATTGGTGGAGTAGAGGTCCTTACTTTTTGTATTGGTGGAGTAGAGGTCCTTACTTTCTGTATTGGTGAAGTAGAGGTCCTTTAACTTCCTGTAATGGTGAAGTAGAGGTCCTTTAATTTCTGTATTGGTGGAGTAGAGGTCCTTACTTTCTGTATTGGTGGAGTAGAGGTCCTTTTATTTCTGTATTGGTGAAGTAGAAGTCCTTTATTTTTCTTTATTGGTGCATAAGAGGTCCTTTAACTTTCTGTAATGGTGAAGTAGAAGTCCTTTAACTTTCTGTGATGGTGAAGTGGAGGTCCTTTAACTTTCTGCATTGGTGAAGTAGAGGTCCTTTAATTTTCTGCATTTGTGAAGTAGAGGTCCTTTAATTTTCTGTATTGTTAAGTAGAGGTCCTTTAATTTTCTGCACTGGTGAAGTGGAGCTCCTTTAACTTTCTGCATTGGTGAAGTAGAGGTCCTTTAATTTTCTGCATTTGTGAAGTAGAGGTCCTTTAATTTTCTGTATTGTGAAGTAGAGGTCCTTTAATTTTCTGCATTTGTGAAGTAGAGGTCCTTTAACTTATTTGTATTGGTGCGGTAGAGAGCCTTTAACTTTCTGTAATGGTGAAGTGGAGGTCCTTTAACTTTCTGTATTTGCGAAGTAGAGGTCTTTACTTTCTGTAATGGTGGAGTAGAGGTCCTTACTTTCTGTATTGGTGAGGTAGTGATCCTTTAACTTTCTGTATTGGTGCAGTAAAGAACCTTTAACTTTCTGTATTTGTGAAGTGGAGGTCCTTTAACTTTCTGTATTTGTGAAGTGGAGGTTCTTTAACTTTCTATAATGGTGAAGTGGAGGACCTTCAACTTTCTGTAATGGTGAAGTAGAGGTCCTTTAACTTTCTGTAATGGTGAAGTAGAGGTCCTTTAACTTTTTGTATTGGTGAAGTTGAGGACCTTTACCTTTCTGTAATGGTGAAGTAGAGGTCCTATAACTTTCTGTAATGATGAAGTAGAGGTCCTTTAACTTTCTGTAATGGTGAAGTAGAGGTCCTTTAACTTTCTGTAATGTGCAGTAGAGGTCCTTCAACCTTCTGTTATGGTGAAGTTAGGCCTCTTGGACATTCTTTATTGTTGAAGCATAAGTCCTTTACTTTTCTTATTGGCGAGAGATCCTTCAACAGTTTCATTTCAGTTTGGCTCCTTTGGCCTTATTGAGACCCTGTGAACAGTCGGCTCTAACAATAATATGCACCTAACAAACGTACATATTCCCTTGATCAACATTCTACAGTCTAAATTTATATTCTCAGCTCCCTTCGGAGTATACAAGCTGTCACAAGCTGAGCACATTAATCTTCTTCATTGCTTTGTGCCTCCTGATTTATTTCAAACAGTGTACACTACATGACTGCTTACATGTATTTCCTGATGCACACACACACACACACACACACGCACACGCACACACGCACATACACACAGACACACACGCACGCACACACACACGCACGCGCGCACACACACACACACACACACACACACACACACACACACACACACACACACACACACACACACACACACATTCACACCAGGTTAGGGTTAGGGCACATCTCTGATAGGAAAATCTAGGCATTTGTCATGACTTGTGTGAAGGACATACAACGTGATCAACATATTTCGATTTTTAAATTACGAATTTGTTTGAATTAAACTATGTTTTCTTCAGCTTTAAATAAAACCACTTAGGTCAAATCAAATATCATTGCACATTAAGTCTTCAAAAGATAAAGAATATTTTAGTATTTGTAAAAATACATACATGATCACAGATAATTTGCCCTTGAAGATAATAATACGGAAAAGATAAGCCGCAACTCATATGCATCTTTACTCGTTGTCTGTGTCGTCACTATTCTATACTATCACTTCGTGTTGGCTCAGGCTTATGGTTCATGATCCTGGGGTTTATACTGGTAGCAGGGACTGCCCTGTACACCATGAGCCGGTTCGACTACACCCAGGAGAACAGCGAGCAGAGGTTCGACCTCAAGGAGAGTCTGTGGTATTCCGTTAATGTCCTACTGCAGGTGCGTATTGGTGGTTATTTCATGACATAACTTAACGATGCAATTCCCTATTTTGACCACATACCATAAAAAGATCAGAATTGTTCTTTAAAAAAACAACCCAGCGTCCCACGCAGCGTGGCGTCTGACGGGGGATCGGGTGGTCAGGCTCGCTGACTTGGTCTTGGTCAAATCACTGGATTGTCTGGTTCAGACTCGATTATTTACAGTCCGCCGTCATATAGCTGGAATATTGGTGAGTGCGGCATTAAAAATCCAACCAACAAATAAACAACAAACAAACTTGAATCATATGTTTTCGTGTGTTTTTAGGTGAACAATTGAGTTGCCTTTGTATGTGTTTGTGACGGGTGCCACCGGCCGGGCAGGTTATGATCGCCTTTTCGCGAACACCTGTAATCATCACGATTTCATAGTGATTCATAAACACATGCTCATGATATACAGTAGTCGGATTCGGACAACGGATTATGGATAAGGTTTTGTCGCTTTTAGAGTGATAATTTGTGTATAAACATGAACAAAACTGTAACTGTACGAGGGCGATTCCACGACTCCTTAAAAAGATGGTCAACTTTGAGTGCACACAAACCGCATCGAAGATTAGACATGTGATCACCTCCTACCTTCTGTACCAGCTAGTCTTGTATCGTCTTCACAAAGGTCTCAAGAACAGATAACATATTACATACAACATATGTAAGGATTTTTTGAGTCATTGAAAGTTGTACAGGGTAAGTGAGTGAGTATGGTTTTACGCCGCTTTAACATTATTCCAGATCACAGCGGCATTTCTACTCCAAGGATCCTAGGTTTGTGCTGATGGTTCTCCACATTCACGGGTTGTAACGTATCTGCCCTCAAGGCAACTACTGATATGTGTGTAGCTGTGTCTGTAACAGGTTTTTATGTAGGTGACACAAGTCACAGAATTTCCATAATTCCAGGGCACCACAGAGTATTCCCCCCAGACGACGTCCATGAGGACCATCATTGCCTTCTTCTGGTTCTGCGTCCTCATCATCGACGCCGCCTACACCGCCAATCTGGCCGCCTACCTCACTCTACAACAGATAGATAACAGGTAGAGGTCTGATTCCACAAATCTTAAAAATACAAACTCCCCCTTTACTTGGCATCAGCTTACACGGTCCCATGCATAATACATCTTGTATGCTCGGGATCAGACATCGCTTCTCAGGTCCAGACAGAAAGTGGAAACGATATGGAACAAGACGGGGCTGCGTTTCAGAAGGCGACCATAGCGCTAAGACAATTGCAAATCTATGTTAGAGGAAGGGAGTTACGACAGCCATCGTAGCGCTACGATGGCTTTTTGAAAGCAGATGCAGACTTACCATTGACTAAAACGGTAAACAAGGTTCTACAACCAGTATTTGAAGATGCGTGTTGCTCTGTCATCTGCATCAGGTACTGTCTTTGTTTCCGTAAACGCCTACTGAAGCCACTATATATCATTGTCAGTTCCTCCAAGCTTTCTCGTGTTTTAGGAACAATAAATACACGTATAGATACAGGACAAGTGCATTTCGTCCGTCTTCTTTAGTGTGCAGCATTTGAGTCAATAAATAAAGGAAATCTGGTTCAGGTGCTCTACTGCCCATCATTTCAGACAATGAAGCAGTACCACCTTCCCACACCCGTCACGAAAAGGCGTACAATGTCCATAAAACTAATTGGAATCAACGGATTGATCTTTGGCATTTTATGAATTTCGGTAAAAACTCTGAATGGATGGTGTGTTGGCGTAATGACATGGAACACTCTTAGACCGACCATGAGATATGCTACATATATTCCCACTCAACAAAAACATTATATGGATCATGTCAACAACTGAGAAATCAACGTTCATTTTTCATGCTATATTAATCAGAATATGAACTGTTAAACGTATTTGCCACCACTCCCGAAAATAGAATTGTACAATGGGCCTGTGGCCTTTCAGTGTTGAACTAAACTGATCCTCAACAATACATGTATTATTCCAGGATCCGAACAGTGTACGACCTGGCCGGCCAGACGGAGTTGTTGTATGGCGTGAGGATGAACAGCAATCTGATGACCTTCTTCGAGTAGGTAACCAGATGTCATTGAGACCATTGTAGTTAAGGGGTAGCTGTGGACTCTGTTACACCAGGGAGGGGGCTCGGAAGGCCCAGAAGTGTAAAATTGAGCAGAGTTGCATCCCTTGCCATGCCAGTATCCACTGGTATGAATTTAGAAATGGTGTTTTCCGGCCTCAGGTTATTTTTAGACACAATAAAAGAATATAAGTTAATTGCTACATTGGAAAGTAACCGTGTCTGTAATGTGAACGCCAAAACTTTATGAGATTTTTTTTCCGGTTAAAAAAAAAGATAAATCGCTGGATGGAAAAGAAACCTTTTCCTTTTGGATGCTTAATCGTAAGACTTAAACATTCCGGCATTTTCCCCACCTTTTGATTATGTTATTTTGCAAAATAAATGAATAAGTTGTCAGTTTGAGAAAACATCACTTTGTGCCTTATTCTACATAAAAAACAATAATGAAGGAATGGTATTGATTGTTCGTCACGCCGGAGACCTGGGTTCGATTCTCACATGGGTACAATGTGTGAAGCCCATCTGTGGTGTTCTCCGCCGTGATATTGCTGGAATATTGCTGAAAGTGGCGTATAACCCTACTCACTCACTATAGCACATGGTCTAACTTAACTACCTTTGGTTGCAGAAATGCCAAGGAGGACCCGTATGAGCGTATGTGGGCATTTATGAAAGTGGAAGGTACGTTGTGGTCTGACACCAACATGATAATTGAGTCGGTGAAGGAAGGGACATACGTGTTCATTGCTGAAAAAGTCGTCAACGACTACTACGCACTGCGGCATTGCGAACTGGAGTCCATTGAGCAGAACTTTGGTCAGAAGGATTTCAGCCTGGGCTTCCCACGCGGGGCTCCTTACAAGGACGATGTCAACAGAGCGCTGCTCTCTCTGAAGGAGGAAGGGAAACTAGATACCCTCATTAAAAGGTAAGTCTATCGTGGCGTTATGGTGGGAGACACATGCCAATTTTTTACTCAGGCCGATAGTTGCCCCGCCCGGCGCCCTACTTTTCCCCACCGATTTTATTTTAAAAGAATTTGGCTCAACCCCTCCACCTTTTGTCCACCATCTACAAACATGTTGCTGACATGGGCCATGAGCATGGACATATTTTTCTGAGAAACGCTCCTACGGGTCTGTGATTGAAGGTCGTTTCATTGTCAACAGCGCAGTCGGAAATATTGCAGCTGTATCAAAATGGTCCGTGTAAAAGTGGCAGAGGTTTCTTAAGAATATGGAAAGGTCTTTGAAGGGCATTTAGAAGTGATACACATAAGGAGTAGAATTTATGGATGTCGACTTCTTTAGTATGACACGTTGTGTTTCAAATAGAAAAGAAGCTCGCATCCATAAATTCTCTTCCTTAATATGGAAAGGGTTTGTAGCTTTTATTATATTCACAGCGTAAGGGAGTGGTCTACATTATAACTACGGTTCAGTAGACTGGGGCTGTTATTACAGTTGTGAGTGGTGGTTTCTCTGAACTAGTTGTGATGTGATTTCATATACGATTCCACAAATAAGGTTAGATTTGCCAATATCGAGGTATTGTAAAAGTTGTTCTGCAACAAGTTTGTTTCCTCTTAGATAGGAAATGCTGGGACTACGATAGGTTTTGTGCTCAGACAAACAAAGTCAAGCCAAAGTGAAGTCAACCAATCATGTTTCACCCACAATCATCTTCGATTGTCCAGGGTATTTATTCTCCTTTCAAATATGACAAATACACTTGACCAAAGTACAACCAACATATTTTTTTCGCATGAATGTGTAAATTGATTGGATGGCTATTTTAGTGACGTGCGATTCAAATTTGACTCAACACGCAACTATGGTTACGGGAGGGCCCAGGGTACTTATGACAATACATGGGAGATATAATACACTTGATAACAGGGGATGGATAAGCCGCATACAATATCCGAGATTTTTTGCCAATAATATTATTGAAGGTGGGATGAGGTAAAATTGGGTTTAAGGTAGCGTTCAAGATCTTTGCACTGATAAAGCAACGTGTGTGTGTGTGTGTGTGTGTGTGTGTGTGTGTGTGTGTGTGTGTGTGTGTGTGTTTGTAATATGTGTTTGTTTGTTTGTGTGTGTTTGTTCGTTCGTTCGGACGAATTCTAGTTTTAGTCCTCTGAGATCCTAGGACGCAGTTTCACATAGATACCCCATTCAGACACATTACACTCACTCCGAGCCGACCAGTCCTGGTTTTATCCCCTGTATGCCAAGAGCCAGGCAGGTAAACAACTAGTACCATCTTGTAGTATAACGCGGTTGGGGATCGAATCACCGACCAACCACTCCCCGGGCAGACACTCTATCCACTACACCTGGGAGGCGGTCTATTACTTAAGGAGGGCGTATTGTCCAAGTGTATGTTTGAAGTGTATGCATGTGTTTGTACACAAGTAGTACTCTAAGACCGTCTGTGTCCAGGTGGTGGACGTCCCGTACCAACTGTACGACAGACACGGACACTCTATCCACTACACTTGGGAGGCGGTCTATTATTTAAGGAGAGCGTATTGTCCAAGTGTATGTTTGAAGTGTATGCATGTGTTTGTACACAAGTAGTACTCTAAGACCGTCTGTGTCCAGGTGGTGGACGTCCCGTACCAACTGTACGACAGACACGGACACTCTATCCACTACACTTGGGAGGCGGTCTATTATTTAAGGAGAGCGTATTGTCCAAGTGTATGTTTGAAGTGTATGCATGTGTTTGTACACAAGTAGTACTCTAAGACCGTCTGTGTCCAGGTGGTGGACGTCCCGTACCAACTGTACGACAGACACGGACACTCTATCCACTACACTTGGGAGGCGGTCTATTATTTAAGGAGAGCGTATTGTCCAAGTGTATGTTTGAAGTGTATGCATGTGTTTGTACACAAGTAGTACTCTAAGACCGTCTGTGTCCAGGTGGTGGACGTCCCGTACCAACTGTACGACAGACACGGACACTCTATCCACTACACCTGGGAGGCGGTCTATTATTTAAGGAGAGCGTATTGTCCAAGTGTATGTTTGAAGTGTATGCATGTGTTTGTACACAAGTAGTACTCTATGACCGTCTGTGTCCAGGTGGTGGACGTCCCGTACCAACTGTACGACAGACACGGACACACGGTCAGTCACCAACAAGGCCACTAAGGAGCTGGAGGTCACCCACATGTACGGCGTCTTCATGGTCCTCGGGGCCTTCGTCGTCCTCGCCGTCATCGTGGAGGTCATTGAGAGGATTAACACATGTGTCGAGGACAGGAAAAGAAAGAAGGTGGGGAAATAGCTGGTCTGCGTTATATGGGGAAACGGCTTGTCGGCGTTACATGGGGGATACACTAGTTGGCGTCATATGGGAAATACCCTTTGTCGGTGTTTCGTGGGGAAAGAGCCATGGTCGGTGTTATATGGGCAAATAACTTATCGGTTGGATGCTCAGTTCTAGGGGTGCGTTGCATTAAAATCACGTGTTCGTGTGTTTATCCGTGTCAACACGGGTAAGGGTAGGCAATGGAAACATAGGGTGATTACAATACGGGTATTCGGGACTTGGAGTCTAGGTGCAGTCCACGTTGAACGACGTGCCACGTGTGAGGTCTCACTATTTCTTTATCAGGATAATCATCAACTGTTAGACAAGAAGGCAAAATACGATTTGACTTAGCAGACAAAGAAAGTTTTATTTTAACAACTTGAACTAAAATGCTAAGACAGCCAAATTAGTTTGAGACCAATTAGGAGTAAGTGAGTGAGAGTGTACGCCGCTTTTAGCAATATTCCAGCAATATCACGGCGTCACCAGAAATGTAGAATCGTATAATGTATCCATGTGGGGAATCGAACCCGGATCTTCGGCGTGACGAGTGAACGCTTTGACCACTAGGCTACCCCATTGCCCTCGAATTAGGAGATAAGCAAATACTGTGTATTGGAGATAGGCATAGCTTAACAATTAATTTGAATTTATCATTTGGAATCTCACATCTTTATCACAATTCCGCAAATATACTCAACGCCAAAAGAACCGCGAATACCATACATGTTGGCTACAATAGGAAGACTTACTCATGTTCAAGAGATATTAGATTGGTTCGATGCACATACGAACAGAGTGGTATTGTTGTGTAAACCGACGCTCATGAACGCATCATATGTGACGTCATAGATCCATTACTCGAGATGCACCATTTGTCTCGTGCAGGATTAGCGTGTAAAGTTTGGAAATCACGTGCAGCATATCGTGATAAGAATACAAATTTAAGTCACTCTGTGGTAACACTTGACTGATCATGATTGTTAGTTTTGTCATTAATTGGTACACATTGGAAAGAAATCTCTTCTTAACGTACATACTTCTCTATATGTTTCTATGGTTCGTGTTTTTTTGGCGGTGAGTATATAAAACATGAACTCTGTGGGGTTGGCAGTGATAGTGAGAACAGTAGCGTGGATTACGTCAAATGTTTTGAGTAGATTTGTCACAATATCAGCTTTTGTACAAAATAGATATACAAATAGATATAACATTGTTTTATTAAATCAATATGTTTGACGCGCATGTGAGATAGGCATTAAATGTGTGTAGTAGAACATCTTCGTATCATTAAGTGGGCACTCCTACCTGTCTGTCTGTCTGTCTGTCTATATTGCAACATTGTAGAAACCACAATGCATCGTGTAAGCTACATTTGCAATCTCATTAAAATCAGATCTCAGTTCTCGCTACCGCTAAACAAAGATCTGAGAACACCCCATTACGGGTCACGTCAGACCGACCTTGCGAGAACTTTGACCGACCAATGGAATGACTGACAAGAAGTCGACATTAGCCAATCAAAAGGCAGCTTTCTCGTGCTTTACGGCACTAATTTCAAATTGGCGACTACGCTCCGAAACATATTTTGACAAATTCTCGATTAAGAATTTGAAACCTGAACAAAAGAACATTCTGGAATGGCTAATAGATGGTCTAGATTGTATGGATTCAGCCGTTAAGCCCGTAACTATCGTTCGAAATACCACATGTTAAGATTTTCGTGGTTGCATGATTAGAAATCCCATTCCGACTGTCACTTTCATAATTTGGTAAGCGACGCTCTGATTGGTCAGATGAAAGATCCTTCTGACGTGACCCCTTATTGGATGTCCTCAGTTCGTTGTTTAGCGGCAGCGAGAACAAAGATATGATTTTAAAAGGGTGCCTACATTTGTCAATGCCATTATTTGAATAGCTCTCCGGTCATGACAGAGTAAGAAGTACATTCCTACAACTGATAGCTTCCGTGGTTATGCGGTCGCCATCAGTGGTTGTTATTGAAATTTGAAAATTTTGTCTGACCAACCGGAATCGTGTATTTTTCAAATTCATGGCAGAATTATATTTCCTTTTTTCCAACTTTGACTTCCAGGAAAAAGACGTGAAGGAGGACCTCCAGAGGCCCACGACGTTGAGCGAGGGGTTCCTCCCGCAGGCTGTGGAGGCCGTCGCCGATATAGACAAGAAGGAATATTGATTAATTTTGATGTATTGGCTTTAATATAATATTTTATGGATAGTAGATAGTAGTTTTTCACAAGTCTTCACAAGAGTCATTTCTCGATGTAGTCAAATATACTGAAAAGCAAAAGTTCCTGTGACATTGAATAAGATTTAATACAAAGTTATGTTTTTTACCAAATCTGAAACAATTCCGGTTTGCAACAGATAAAAGACTCCTGTAAGTGTTCAAATGGTTTAATTTGCCATATTGACTTCAGAAAATGCGTGATTTCATAAAAAAAATCCATGAACATGCCAAAATGTCAATTTATATATCAATAGCTTGTGTGTCCACCTCTGGTTGCGATCCAAACCAGGACCAGGCGATGGACCAGGCGTCGCACAAAGTCCTGTGGGATATCTGTCCATATCTACTGCAGCAATTTCCTGGAGTGTCTGTGTAACACGTGGTTGTCGTCGAAGGCGCCGATCCATCTCATCCCACATGTGCTCGATTGGTGAGAGATCAGGGGAGCGAGCCGGCCAGGGGATGACATTCACGTCGTTTTGTTGAAGAGATTCCTGAACAAGTCGAGCAATATGAGGCCGGGCGTTGTCATGTTGAAAGGTTATGCCTGGGCCATGACGACGCAAAAACGGTAGAACAACAGGGCCGACGATCTCGTCGCGGTAGTGCTGTCCATTGAGATTTCCCTCTACCACTATCAAACGGGTCCTTTGTCTTGCTGTAATCCCACGCCCCCGAACCGATCTTCTTCCATGACACAATGATTGACGTAACGTTCACCTCGACGTCGGTACACTCGAATCCGTCCATCGCTGTGGCTGAGGTGAACACGAGACTCCAGTGAATGGAACTTGTCCCCACTGCATGGCCGCCCAGCTTAGACATTGTCAGCACCACTGTAGATGTGCTTGACGGTGGTTTCCTGTCAAAATGGGACGTCTGGCCGGTCTTCTGGCAACAATCCCTGCACATCTGAGGCGACGACGTACGGTTTGTGAAGATATTCGTCAATGGCCAGGGATGCTTCTTGCAGTCACTGTTGCTGGCTGGAATCGATTTCGTAGGTGTTGTTCGAATCCAGTTGTCTTGTCAATTATTGGTTACGCGTGGCCTGCCACTCCGAGGATGGTCTCTGACTGCATTCGTCTGTTGCCAACGTTGCCATAAACACCAAATGGTGTTTCTGTGGACGTTAAATTGTCTTGCAACATCACTCGATCCTGCTTCAAGCATATCAATGGATCGCAGACGCTCATTTTCGGCATTTCGTATTGTTGAATAATTGGGTAATTTTGTTGTTTTTCTGAGTGGTTGTTAAACAATGCATATGGAATCCCGTTAACGCACATGTTTTTATACCCATTCTTGGGTAGTGAAATGCATGGGGCTTGCATAAAAGTCAACTTTTGCATAGAATGCATGCTTTTCTGTAGCAATTGCGTTTTTGTGACTTGATTCCATTCATGTACTACATTTTTGAAAACCAAACTTTACTTGTTTGAAAAATACACTAAAATATTGGTGTCACAGGAACTTTTGTTGTTGAGTAAACATGCTAAATGTGCGATTTGGTGATATTTGTAGTTTTATTACAAGTAGCCGTTGCGGTCAACATGAACCGAAGCGGGGGACCTTCTGACGTAATCACTGAAGAAGATAATCAAAACTCATCCCTGAATTTATTTATCTAATTATCCCACAAATATATAGTACTAATTGACCAAACACTTTCCTGATTAATTAGAATTTATTATAATCAGTTTATAGTTTAAAAACGTCTCGAAATAGACGAAAGTTTGTGAGTAGCTGTTTGAGTATATGATTAGTGTAGACTGTAGTATATATGATTAATCAAGTCTTTGAAAGGCATTTAGAAGTGATACACAAAAGGAAGAGAATTTATGGATCTACATTCTTTATTTTGAGGAACACAAAGTTTCGGAGTATATACTTACTCCTTCATTCACCTGACGAAGGAGTAAGTATATACTCCGAAACTCTGTGTTCCTCATAATAAAGATTGTAGATCCATAAATTCTTTTTCTTATATGATTAAAATACTGGTAGTGAACGGGATAGCACTAATGGACAATTTGTTGATCTTGTATACCAGTTAACGTTTATATCCATATTCTGTGCAAATATACAACTCAAAAGAAGTTAAAGAACACCCGATACCTATATATTACTATAGTTATCTCCCATGCCATGACATGTAAACTGACCTGTGAAGATCTCGGTTAGAATTCAGAAACCCATGCTTGTCGGAAGAGGCGACAATTCTTGTCGGAAGAGGCGACAAACGGGGTCGGTTGGTCAGACTTTCTTTCTTTGTTGTTTAACGCCGCACTCAGCAATATTCCAGCTATGTGACGGCGGTCTGTAAATAATGGAGTCTGGACCAGACAATCCGGTGATTGACATCATGAGTATCGATCCACGCAATTGGGATACGATAACATGCATGAACCAGGTCAGCGAACCTGACCACCCGATCCTGTTAGTCACCTCTTACGACAAGCATAGTTGCATTTTACGGCAAGCATGGGTTGCTAAAGACCTATTCTACCCCGGATCTTCACGGGTCCTTGTTTATTGTGTACATATGCCGTAGTATGTTCGCTACCGTGATATGGCTGGAATATTGCTAAAAGCGGCGTAAAACCATACTCACTCACTCATTCTTAGCAGTCAGTCTCTTGGAGGTGTTGAGGTGCAATGGGGTTTAACATCATGCACGTGTCCGTGTGGCTGCTTGCACTAGTCCGAATTTTTGCTGGTTTCATAGTGCTAGCCCACTGAGTTACCATGCCGCATTTTTACTTGGATATCCCACTAGGGCATGTACCGACTACGAGCCAAGAAGTCCTTGTTTTATCCCCATAACGCCGAGCGCCAGGCAGGGTAACTAAGTACCTCTTTTGGTGTGAGGTGATCCTCCAGCCTTCCGCTCTCCACAGTCTCTTGGTGCGTCCGCAGACTTGGAATTGTTTTAGTGAAAATGATTACATTGAAATGGAGAATTTGTTCTTTGAACAATTTTGTTAATTACTGGACTCGGCCGATATCGTGCCCATGTATCATGTCTCATGCTTTCAGCCCTAGACTTGATTACTTTCATGCCCACGTGATACAGCTAGAATATTGCCATCTGTGGCTTTAAGGCAACATTCACTCCCAAGGACTATAACGGAGATTATATGCCGAATGTGTTGCATCCTAAATATCATACGTTAGGAATTAAAAATATATTATTATGCCAGGCTTTGGCTTTATGCAGTAAACATTCACTGCACATCAACATCAACACTTTACTTTGTTTATTGGTGAGGTGAGGTGAAATGGGGTTTAACGTCGCGTCCAAGATTATTGCACTTATATAGCGACGTGCATGCACGTGTATGTGTGTGTGTGTGTGTGGCTGCTTGTACTAGTCCGGACTGATGCCGATATATAGTGCTAGCACACTGACATACCATGCCGCAGTTTAACATGAATACCCCACTCAGACACAGTATACTGACTCCGAGCCGACCAGTCCTTGTTTTAGCCCCTTAATGCCTAGCGCCAGACAGGGTAACAAGAAGTACAACAAATGAATGGTTTTGGAGGACAGGTATAATATACAACCATTAATACTTCGATTGTATGCTCCCCAGGGAGCTGAGAATGAAAATTCAGTGCACACTGATCCCATGTCATCAATGAGTCAAAAAGTAAACGAAAATAAAACTGTAAATTTGATTTAAGATATGCTGATATTAAACCCCTCCATGCTTTATTGAAGATTTTATTCTTCCAGCACATATTGACCTAAAAGTCCATGAATAAAAAAAGGAAAAGTGAGTGAGTGAGTGAGTGAGTTGTGTTTAACGCCGCTTTTAACAGTATTCCAGTTATATCACGGCGTGTCAGCTTGATGTGGGAGGTAAGCCTGAAGTGATGCAGGCCTCAGACGTTTACCACTTTGGTGAAACCCAGGAGCATGGGTATGGCGCTGACAAACCTAGAAACATAATTGGGGCGAACCGGGATTTGAATCTACGATCATAGGTTTCTGACGTGCCCAAGGGACGCAACTCTGCACAGCGAATCGCGGCGCCTAAGACGACTGGCCCACCCGTGCTACCCCCAAAATAGAAAAGGTATGGCCCAACATTTCACAGGATGCCAGCTGGAGGTAATACCTCGGTCATGTGTACCCAAGTCAAGCTTTGATTGTGTGAACATGGATTGTCTGACGTCCAAGGATATCACATTTGTAGAATAATACTTTTGCTGATTTCAAGCTGATTTCAGAAAGAAATTAGTGTCCTCAGACTTACAGAGCCTAGTGACTGAGTAAGTAAATGCTAAAAACCTGTCATCAATATTCCTGCTGCTTCACAGGCCCTTTACATGAGTGTTTAGAATAGGCTCTTTACATGTGTTTAGAATAGGCTCTTTACATAACTGTTTAGAATAGTCTCTTTACATAACTGTTTAGAATAGGCTCTTGACATAAGTGTTTAGAATAGGCTACTTTACATAACTGTTTAGAATAGTCTCTTTACATAACTGTTTAGAATAGGCTCTTTACATGTGTTTAGAATAGGCTACTTTACATAAGTTTTTAGAATAGTCTCTTTACATAAGTGTTTAGAATAGGCTACTGTTCATAACTATTTAGAATAGGCTCTTTACATGTGTTTAGAATAGGCTACTTTACATAACTGTTTAGAATAGGCTCTTTACATAACTGTTTAGGATAGGCTCTTTACATAACTGTTTAGAATAGTCTCTTTACATAACTGTTTAGAATAGGCTCTTTACATAACTGTTTAGAATACGATCTTTACATAACTGTTTAGAATAGGCCCTTTACATGTGTTTAGAATAGGCTCTTTACATGTGTTTAGAATAGGCTACTTTACATAACTGTTTAGAATAGGCTCTTGACATAAGTGTTTAGAATAGGCTACTTTACATAACTGTTTAGAATAGTCTCTTTACATAACTGTTTAGAATAGGCTCTTTACATGTGTTTAGAATAGGCTACTTTACATAAGTTTTTAGAATAGTCTCTTTACATAAGTGTTTAGAATAGGCTACTGTTCATAACTATTTAGAATAGGCTCTTTACATGTGTTTAGAATAGGCTACTTTACATAACTGTTTAGAATAGGCTCTTTACATAACTGTTTAGGATAGGCTCTTTACATAACTGTTTAGAATAGTCTCTTTACATAACTGTTTAGAATAGGCTCTTTACATAACTGTTTAGAATACGATCTTTACATAACTGTTTAGAATAGGCCCTTTACATGTGTTTAGAATAGGCTCTTTACATGTGTTTAGAATAGGCTACTTTACATAACTGTTTAGAATACACTCTTTACATAACTGTTTAGGATAGGCTCTTTACATAACTGTTTAGAATAGTCTCTTTACATAACTGTTTAGAATAGGCTCTTTACATAACTGTTTAGAATACGATCTTTACATAACTGTTTAGAATAGGCTCTTTACATAAAAAATATATATATGATAGAATAAAATATGATTTCTTTTACAAAATAGCTGTTGTTTAGGAAAGTGATTTTTTCAAACGTGCATGTGTATTTTGTAAAGAAAATCCATTAGAAACGAGAATAACTATCAAAGTTGTTCAACAATTTATATGAGGTTTATAGGGTTGGAACAAAATAACTAGAGTCAGTCAGTTATACTATACCACAGTTTTTATTCAAGTATCATAGAAAAATCACAATCATACCAGGGACTAGGGCTCCCACACTGAGCCCAATGGGAAGTGAACCCACATCCATCTGCATGGCAAGCTAACACTTGCCATTCACCCTATTCAACAACAACTTAACAAATACAAATAATCTTGTAAGGATAAGGTTACAGTTACAGACTAGAAAGCAATTATGTCAGTGAGTTGAAGCTGCAGATATAAAGACATATGGTTCTCCGCACCACCATAAATAGAATCACATGACACTGTAGCTCACACTTTTACTGGCAGGGCTCGATTTAAGGAACTTTATTCAACTTGCTTCAGGTGCATGTTGACATAAAAACCAAGTAGCACTAACCAAAACCAGGTTGCACACTGGTCCAATACAGATATCAAAGTTGAAACAGCCTGGTCTGCTGCCAGTGTCCCATAAATTAGTGATGCATTGCGGTAAAATGTAATAGGAACGTGCACATAATCTTGAAATACCCACAATTTCAAGACATCAAGAACAAGAAAGTATGACAAATTACACGTAACACAGGGATCAGTTACGTAGTGTAGTAAATAAACTTAAGTGGTTTTGAGTGTGTCTTGAGACCGATGTGTGTGGTCCAGTAAGGGTTAGTCAGACACAAATGTTTGACATGCACTTGGTGCATGTAAACATAAATATTAGGTTGCATTTCTCTGAAATAGGTTGCAAAGGTTGGTGTATGTTTTATATAGCTAAACCAAGCCCTCACTGGAATAAGGCAAATAAGTAACAGGACCTTTGATCGACCAAAACAATATGAATATTTCATAACGATACATGCAGAAACGGCTTAGAAAACTGCACAAATTACAACTTCCATGTGGGCAACATGATATCTATGTCTTGAATTGGATGTGATTTATGTGAGCACTTTTTAGACGCATTGATTGGATATTTATACACCAAACTTCAGCCCTAAATATAGAGGTTTCAGGGGAGATAAAAATTGTGTTATTCCAGATACTAATGTGTATCACATTTCACAATTATACATGAAATGAAGTAAATGACCAAAATGATATTCCTCCATGAAAACAAGGACTATTTAGCACTTCATTGACACTGATCCTGTAAAGATCTGGGTAAGAATTTGTCTTCAGCTACCTATAACCCATGCTTGTTGTAAGTGGGTGACTAAGGGGATCGGGTGGTCAGATTCACTGAGTTGGTTGATGCATGTCAATGAATCCCAGTTGTGTAGATCAATGCTCAAGATCCTAATCACTGGATTGTCTGGTCCAAACTCCATTATTTACAGGCCTCCATCATTTTGCTGGAATATTGCCAAGTGTGGCGTTAAACAACAAACACATCATAGACGCCATTGGTTGGGTCATCCTTGAAAAGTTTCAGTTTCAAAGCAATGGTTTCCGGAGTCATTAAAGATCTAAAACATTTTAAGGGAGGTATGTGCGATAAGTACAGTTGAACTGACAGATAAGATAAGCTTAAAAGGGGGGAAATGTATGCAAGCTTTCAGTGCAAGAAGGTTCATTTCTTGTCATGAAGCAGAACTGCCTGCATCATATAATCCTGGAGAAAGAGGTGCAAGAGAACCATATGTCCTATTAGAAGCCCAATACAAATAAATAATCTGAATTCCATTTGTACATTTTCTACGTTTGAACACAATAAATGAAAAATACATGAACACAACCGTAACAGACAAACAGTTCTTTTCATAAAATGACCATGATCTATAAAAATTCCATACTTTCATCACGCAGAAAATTTGTACAGAATATTACAAATTTACAATGACAAAACAATAGGGCTCTCAAACATCGTCCAGAATAACATCAGGGATAAAGGTTAGGGAGCAGTTCGAAAGTTGAGAGAAAGGCTGGACTTACTTTTATTAAAGCTTTCACCATCATAAAACCATTGCAAAGTTGGTTCAATTGACAACAGAACATATTTGAGAAGGTCAACAATTTCACCATTCAGATCCTCAGGGTAATACTCAAAAATTGAGTAATTATTTTAAAAATCCTTTTATTAACTTTTGAAGTGCTCCCTGAAACGGTTCTCTTAACAATCTGAGTAACATGATTTGGTACAGTAAACCAGTACACAGTTCTGGACACTACACATGGGCAGACAGTGCGAACAGACAACTGTGGAACTGACTTGCAGGAACAAGTGGAAACACATATTGGCACAAGTCTCTAACAGGAATACTCTGGTGCTCTCATACAGTACCATGCGGTACATTAGGGGTGAAACAATACAGCGAGGTCACGATACGATACGCATCACGATACATGGGTCAGGATATGATACGCATTGTGATATGCATATTTACGTAAAACCTCTTGATACATAAATATTTCAGAGAAGGTTTAAACGGGAGAGATAGTTGTAGACACGTTTGTAGCGCCTATTTTTAGTAGTGAACTTAAAATGCTAATTTCAACATGTTGCAATATTTGAGCGAGAAAAACACCAAGGGTCTTTAAGAGAGTAGTAATTCATTTAAGCAAGTGTATCGTCTTGTATCGATACAGAAAAAACAGTATGACATACCGTATCGTCACATAAAAACTCACAATGCACCGATGTACTGTTTCAACCCTATGTACAATGTGTGTCAAGATACTTGCATCGCTCTGTGCTACATACTATGATGTAGAAATCCTGAGTACATTTCTGTGATCGAACTATTAGGCAAGAAAAACTGAAAAATGGCACAAAAAGAACTATTTTCTCTACTGTGCCAATTTCAAACTTTTTCACCATGAAACAAGATCGAACATTCAATAGATTAAACTTACAACAGGTTAACTGATGAAGTAAACATACCAAACACTGCACATACGGCAACATATACTACTCAAAAGAAGTTAAAGACCACCTGATTACCCATGGCCAATGAAAATATTGGGTGTTCTTTAACTTCTTTTGAGTAGTATTATAAGAAAATGTTTGCAGAAAAAAACGAATTTTTCATTAAAAAATCTGGTAACTGAGAACTTTAAAAAATCTGGCCTGAAGCTCTGGTTATTTATGCAATGAAAGGGCATAGAGTGTAAATGAAAAAATGTGCAGGGTCGGAAGATGTTTTGACGGGTTGTTCCGTTGTAAATGAAGGGAAACCCACTAGGATGGTTATAGTATTGCCAGATCAAGGATCATAATCAGCGCAAGACTGTGACTTGAACCACTGAATATCGGATCCTGGTTTGACTAAGAGGCACAACTCTGCTCATCAAATTGCAGCTACCAGGTACTCAGACCATTGGACCACCTGTGAGCTTGTATTAACAAGAAAAACATTCTAAAACTATACAAGCAAACATTGTGTAATTATATCGCGGATGCAAGTATCTTGATGCATCCATCCATTGCACAAAAGGTGACGCCGACAACCAACCACATTTGACATTCTTCCACTTTTACAGTAAATCCACTAATTATAAACAAGAAATTGATCTTGACTCCAAGTGATTTTACCTTGATGGTTAGGGATTGGTATTGCAATTTGTGTTGAAAATTATGCATTGAGAGTTACCTCCCTTCCTTAATATTCTATGATATGATAAAAGAATGATATTCAAGCATAGAAACCAAAAATACTTCATAATACTGCAATATTAAATGACCATAGAACAAAACATTACCTCTGTTGGGTTATTGGTCTATGAAACGGTGTTCTTGGGAAAATACCAGCATTAGAAACTAACAGTTTTAGTCCGATAGTCCTAATAATGATAACACAAAGCAAAACCCTTAAAAAGGGCAAATTTCTTCTCGTCCTTGAGATACCTTAACTATTGGGCAGTTTGGCAAGGACTACAGGACTAGTGCCCATTTCTATCACTGAATACTTAGTTGATTTACAGTATACAATTGTCTTGAGGCATTTCTTTCACTAAATACTGGATGCGTAATGTGGTGTGAGTAATATATCCTTTGATATCCCACGTCCCCTTTCAAGAAAACAATGCACTCCGGTTTTGTCTTAGTTAAAATACTGTGTCATTTACAAGCAAATCACGATGAGAGCATAAAGTATTTGTTAAAAGATGGACTCATATCCACTGATTTGAGTACAAAACAAAATTCAATCAGTTCAACCCATTGTACCATGCGGCAGCTATAGTCACTAGTCAAAAGTCTAGTTTAACGCAGGGAAAATATAGCTATTGATAGTTCATAGTCTAAAATGTACTGACAATGTATGGGCTGGTACACCTTGACCTGACTGAGCACCATACCTTGGAGATGAGGCCATCATCTTCGAACAACCAATTCTACATTCTCTTAATGTGGCTTCTGATGGCAACATCACCAAATGACAGTCTGGAGTATATGATGAAATTATATTTTTGAATCTCTTTCAAATGGAATGATATCATTAGTATAAAATAGCCACCATTTTTCACTGTAACTATTATGCCCACTCGCGTATTGCCAACTCTCACTCACCCCCATCAGAACTGTCCCCACCACCCCTGTCCCTCCTGTTGTCCTCAGAAGGGGAGGGGGTGTCAGCCCATCGACCCTCAATAGGGTTAGTGCATTTCCGTGGGGGAGAGTTGGCCAGTCGATCTTCAACTGGATTGGTTTCATTCGGGGAATTATCGGCCCATCGGCCTTCCATATTCTCCTTAACTGGAGGACTTGTATCTGCCCATCGACCCTCATTAGGATCGGGTAATTTAGCGGGTAGAGTTGCCTCCCTTTTATCTCCAACTGAATTCACTTCTCCATTCGTTTCTCTCACTGGTGACAGTTCTTGCGAAACAGGCCTTTTCATAGGCGATTTTGATTTCTCTTTTCTATCACCATTGTCTCTAGTTTTCTTTTCCTTCTCAGTTTTACGGTCTTCATGATCAGAAAGGTGGTTCTTTGAGCTTTTTCTGTCACCTTTTCCATCTTTGGATTTTGATTTTTTGGGGGACTTTGAGCGTGGGGATGGAGACGATCGGGAGTGTTTGCGATTGCGTTTGCTGTCTGAGGAACTCTTCTTCTTTGAAGACTTGGATCTAGAGTTACTCCTGCGAAAGGTTGAAATACATGGATTAAAACAAAATGGAAAATCTTTGGGTAAAGGCTTGGTTTTAGAATCAGCAATATTAAGTTGTTGTTTTCTGTGACACAGATCTTTGGGATATAAAATTAAAAAGTGTTTAACGTCGCATTCAAAATTATTGCCCTAATATAGCGACTTGCATGCGCGTGTCTGTCTGCTTGTGCTAGTCTGGACAAATGCTGGTTCTATATTGCTAGCCCACTAAGATACCATGCAGCTGCTTAACATGAATATCCCACTCAGACACAGTATACTGACTCCGAGCCGACCAGTCCTTGTTTTATCTCCTTAATATTGGGAAGGGTAACAGCAAGTACCCATCTATTAACATCTTTTGATACGATGCGGCGGATCAAACTGCCGACCTGTTGCTCTCTGGGCAGGAGCTCTATCCACTAAAAAATGGATGCCATCTTTGGTCTCCTGCTAAATGTAACTCAGAATTTGAGTGAGCAGTATTTCAGTGATAGCAGTGGCAGCACAACAACTGATTGTTGGGGGAAATGCCCAAAGTGATACAGGGTCCCGTTCCACAAAGTGATCTTAGCGTTACAATGATTGTAACTCCCCTACGTTAGCAGAGTCTTATAACAGTCATAGTTCTTTGATGAACTGGGCCCAATCAACAACTGCGACAAGCAGGAATATGGTCATGACAGACCAACGGTTGATCTGATTGTCTGACAAACAGAAGAAGCACTAATCCCTCACATTGTAACCTGCAGCATGTGTGATGGACTGACACCTGCAGAGTTTTGTTTGCTCGTTTGCTGTTTAACGCCACTCTCAGCAATATTCCAGCTATATGACGGAGGTCTGCAAATAATCTGGACCAGAAAATCCAGCAATTGACATCATGAGCATCGATCCATGCATTTGACCAACCAAGTCAGCGAGCCTGACCACCAGATCCAATTGGTCACCTCTTACGACAATCATAGTGTTTCCTTTGGCAAGCATGGGTTGCTGAAGACCTATTCTATAACCCTGATTCTTCATGGGTTGACACTTGCAACGGCCACAGGGGAAAGTTTTTGTCCCTGGCAAAACTGCATGGACGAAAGTACTTTCTTTCTGTTGCACATCACCACCAAGCCACAACACAAGGGCAGGTAGGTTACATGTAATGACATTGGATTGGACACTCACAAATGAGGCCCAGTCAACTGATCAGTAATGATATTCACCAATAGTGCACACCACCCTGCCCAGCCCCACTCCTTCCATTTCTTCAGTGAGTGAGTGAGTTGGGTTTAATGCCGCTTTTAACCTTAATCCAGTTATATCACGGCATGCCATTCCTTCAGATAATAGGGAGTGAGTGAGTATGGTTTTACGTCGCTTTCAGAAATATCATGGCTGGCGACGCCAGAAATGGTCTTCACACATCGTATCCATGCATGGAATCTAACCAGGGTCTTCGGCATGACACCTACAGATAATAACCATATGAGGATGTCGCAAAAATATAATATTTGCCTACCGACTACGACTCTTGGAACGGCTTTCGCTGCGACTGTAGGATCGACGGCTGCGTTGATGATCACGTCTGCCGCGGGATCGGGAGCGTGACCTCGACCTAGTCCTGAAACGGTTTTAAAACCCATAAAACAATTCTTACATAAACATGAGTCGTGATGGAGTGAAGATATGTTTGGCATGCTCTGCAATGATAATACACAAACAATTCCTTACATTTAATTATTAATTATCTTGTTACATAATTGTGTATCATTGTAAGCAGCATTGCCATGACAACCTTGGTAATGACCTTATTATAAAGAAGGAAACTAGTACATCTTGTCAAAAATCTAAAAATTAGAAAATATAATTAAGTAGAAGGTTGCATCATTTACTGAAATGGTACTATGATTATTAACATCATTCAAAACTAAACAATTGATCTTAAGGTAACGAATCTGATAATATCAGATAATATAATCATTATCTTGTACACACTGTTGTTACCATAGTTACAGACAATACAGTACTGAGTTGATCTACATTCACACAATTTTAGTATTCAACTTGTAGTGAGATAAATGTTATATAATTGTGCAGTTTACTGCCCAAAATATGTCTGTGGTACAAATTTTCTCATCTTGGATGGTTAATCTCTTGTAAACAATTGAGGACCAAACATTGTTATTTTCTAGCTACTTTTAATGTATGCATGCAGTCAGAGTGAGAACAGAGTTGTCAGATTATCATTCATGATAAGGGCCTTTATTTTTGTCAATGGGGGCCCTGAGTGTGAGATGGCATCATAAATGCTTTTCTATACAATATCAACAGCACTCACATACATATATGTGCCATCCTCTTTATGTCTATTTATCGAAGTGAAAGCACACACAAAATTCATGTGATAATAAAAATAACTGAACTGGGACTCTCTTTGACTCAGTAAACCTCCACAACACAAAGCAGAATAGGTCTCACTGAATGATTAGGTGCCTTGTGAATGGATGTGAGAAGGATTTTATTCAATGATGGAAATGTCCAGTGATGTGGGGATGGATTTTATAGAACAGTACAGTGATATGGGCTTGGATGTTATAGAATGAAACGGTGATGTGCCAATAGATTTTATGTGGGGATGGATTTTATAGAATGGGATAGTGATGTTGGAATGAATTTTATGGAATGGGATAGTGACGTTGGAATGGATTTTATAGAATGGGATAGTGATGTTGGAATGGATTTTATAGAATGGGATAGTGATGTTGGAATGAATTTTATGGAATGGGATAGTGATGTTGGAATGGATTTTATGGAATGGGATAGTGATGCTGGAATGAATTTTATAGAATGGGATAGTGATGCTGGAATGAATTTTATAGAATGGGATAGTGATGCTGGAATGAATTTTATAGAATGGGATAGTGATGTAGGAGTGGATTTTATAGAATTCTACAGTGATGTTGGAATGGATTTTATAGAATTCTACAGTGATGTAGGAATGGATTTTATAGAATTCTACAGTGATGTTGGAATGGATTTTATAGAATTGTACAGTGATGTTGGAATGGATTTTATAGAATGGGATAGTGATGTTGGAATGGATTATGTAGAATGGTCCGATGATGTGGGGAAGGATCCTATAGAAAGAAACAGTGATGTGGGAGTGGATTTGACAGAATGGTACATTGATGTGGGAATGTATTTAATCAAATTTTGTAGTATTTTGTAGAATGGTCCAGTGATGAGGAAATGAGTTTCACAGAATGGTCCGGTGACCATGGAAATGATTGAGTGAGTGAGTATGGTTTTACGCCACTTTTAGCAATATTCCAGCAATATCACGGCGGGGGACACCAGAAATGGGCTTCACACACTGTACCCATGTCGGGTATCGAACCCGGGTCTGCCGCGTGACACGTGAACGCTTTAATCACTAGGCTACCCGACCGCCCTGAAGTGGGAATGAGTTTTACAGAATGATCAGGTACCATGATAATGTCTTACTTGAAAAAAGTACCTTTGAGATAGATTTCACTGAAGGATTTGTTTGTTGCTTAATGCTGGGAGCAATATTCCTATAAAATGGCAACCTGCAAATAATTGAATCAGGACCAGGCAAGCAAGCCAGTGATTGATACTATGAGCAATGTCCCACGCTGTCAGGATACCATGACAAGCAATCAACCAAGTCACAGAGCCTGGCTCACTCTTACAAGAAACAGGCAACTAGGGAACTATAGTGGCCCAGAATCAAACAGGGACACTGAATGACCTGGAATCAAACAGGGACACTGACTGACCTGGAATCAAACAGGGTCACTGAATGACCTGGAATCAAACAGGGTCACTGAAATGACCTGGAATCAAACAGGGTCACTGACTGACCTGGAATCAAACAGGGTCACTGAAATGACCTGGAATCAAACAGGGTCACTGAATGACCTGGAATCAAACAGGGACACTGAATGACCTGGAATCAAACAGGGTCACAGAATGACCTGGGTGAGTGAGTGAGTGAGTTGGGTTTAACGCCGCTTTTAACAGTATTCCAGTTATATCATGGTATGTCAGCTTAATGTGGGAGGAAAGCCCGAAATGATACAGGTCTCAGACCTGCAGGTCTCAGACATTTACCACTTCGGTGAAACCCATGAGCACGGGTATGGTGCTGACAAACCTAGAAACATAATCGGGGCGAACCGGGATTCAAACCCACAATCATAGGTTCTGGGGTGCCCAAGGGACGCAACTATGCACAGCGAATCGTGGCGCCTTAGACGACTGGGCCACCCGTGCCCCCCTGAATGACCTGGAATCAAACAGGGTCACCAACTGACCTGGAATCAAACAGGGTCACTGAAATGACCTGGAATCAAACAGGGACACTGAATGACCTGGAATAAAACAGGGTCACTGAATGACCTGGAATCAAACAGGGTCACTGAATGACCTGGAATCAAACAAGGTCACTGAATGATCTGGAATCAAACAGGGTCACTGACTGACCTGGAATCAAACAGGGACACTGACTGACCTGGAATCAAACAGGGTCACTGAATGACCTGGAATAAAACAGGTTTACTGAATGATCTGGAATCAAACAGGGTCACTGGATGATCTGGAATCAAACAGGGACACTGAATGACCTGGAATCAAACAGGGTCACTGAATGACCTGGAATCAAACAGGGTCACTGACTGACCTGGAATCAAACAGGTTTACTGAATGACCTGGAATCAAACAGGGTCACTGACTGACCTGGAATCAAACAGGGACACTGAATGACCTGGAATCAAACAGGGACATTGAATGACCTGGAATCAAACAGGGTCACTGAATGACCTGGAATCAAACAGGGTCACTGACTGACCTGGAATCAAACAGGGACACTGAATGACCTGGAATCAATCAGGGACACTGAATGACCTGGAATCAAACAGGGTCACTGGAATCAAACAGGGACACTGGAATCAAACAGGGTCACTGGAATCAAACAGGGACACTGAATGACCTGGAATCAATCAGGGACACTGAAATGACCTGGAATCAAACAGGGTCACTGAAATGACCTGGAATCAAACAGGGTCACTGAAATGACCTGGAATCAATCAGGGACACTGAATGACCTGGAATCAAACAGGGTCACTGAAATGACCTGGAATCAAACAGGGTCACTGTAATGACCTGGAATCAAACAGGGTCACTGAAATGACCTGGAATCAATCTGGGACACTGACTGACCTGGAATCAAACAGGGTCACTGAAATGACCTGGAATCAGACGGGGTCACTGAAATGACCTGGAATCAGACGGGGACACAGAATGAAAAGGCACTGTGGAAATGGATTTCTTGAATGACAAGCACCTTTGAGAATGGCTTTCACAAAAATCTTCTTCTTAAGTAAATGAATATATAATGCATTATACCATTTCTGTTGGACTCTTGGATAGAAAGCAGGAGGATGGTTGTCAAACGAAGCTATCCAATAGTAAAGAGATGCTGATTATAATATAAGGCTTCAAAGGGCTTTGCAAGAAGCAATTTGAAAACTCCTATCATAACAAAATAATACATGTCGCATGAATTTTGTGTGTGCTTTTTCTGCTTTCAAATGCGTGCTTTTTTCAAGATCAGTATTCAGTGAGAACAAAGTCATCTATGGAATGCACAGAGACAAGTCTGTCACTCATGTAAGTCTTAAATTATATGTGTATTAAAATGGTTACAACAGCAGCCATGGCAACAAGCTGTTACCATGGCAGCAATTTATACGTACCTTTCAAACCTCAAAATCATGCTGAGCCAGACCAACCAAATTACACTGATGAATTTCACAACCTGCCAAGGTCAGTCACCTTGACTCTTAAGGTCATCAAAGGTCACAACCAAGGTCATCACCATCTCTCTACTGTCCACCATTACATGATTTCCATGGGGTTCACCCACACACACCAAGGAAGTCCACCATTGATTGATGAACAATCAATCACGAGGCCCCATCTTACACACGATTGCCACAACACCCATCACCTTTACATTGCCGACCTCAAACCATAACCATTCTACCTGACCAAGGAAAATGGTGGAACAAATCAACCACTAGGTAATAACCAGCATGTGATGCTTGGACATAATTATGTGATAGGTAACATATCATAGTTATCACACAAATAATAACATCATTACAAGGTACAAGTGTTCTCCCTGTGCAATATCCAACCCTCTAACCACTAGGCACCCACATCCCTCCCAGGGTGACAGGAAACCAGTGCTATTGGCTCCCTTGGTATTTTATCACAGACAGTATATAACATGTATAATATCCGACCCTTTAACCACTAGGCACCCACATCCCTCCCAGGGTGACAAGAAACCAGTGCTATTGTCTCCCTTGGTATTTTATCACAGACAGTATATAACATGTATAATATCCGACCCTTTAACCACTAGGCACCCACATCCCTCCCAGGGTGACAGGAAACCAGTGCTATTGGCTCCCTTGGTATTTTATCACAGACAGTATATAACATGTATAATATCCGACCCTTTAACCACTAGGCACCCACATCCCTCCCAGGGTGACAGGAAACCAGTGCTATTGGCTCCCTTGGTATTTTATCACAGACAGTATATAACATGTATAATATCCGACCCTTTAACCACTAGGCACCCACATCCCTCCCAGGGTGACAAGAAACCAGTGCTATTGTCTCCCTTAGTATTTTATCACAGACACTATATAACATGTATAATATCCGACCCTCTAACCACAAGGGACCCTCTAACCACTAGGCACCCACACCGTCCCAGGGTGACAAGAAACCAGTGCTATTGGCTCACTTGGTATTTTATCACAGACAGTATATAACATGTATAATATCCGACCCTCTAACCGCAAGGGACCCTCTAACCACTAGGCACCCACTTCCGTCCCAGGGTGACAAGAAACCAGTGCTATTGGCTCACTTGGTATTTTATCACAGACAGTATATAACATGTATAATATCCGACCCTCTAACCACTAGGCACCCACATCCCTCCCAGGGTGACAGGAAACCAGTGCTGTTGTCTCTCTTAGTATTTTGTCACAGACAGTATATAACATATAATATATCCTTTGCATGTATGAGAATTCAGTTGCACTTACAGACAGAATGCTAAAGTATTATTTCTTGTTATAAACTTATTTTGCTCAGGACTTCAAGGTTCCTGCTGTGCTAGAATGCAAGTAACACAAAGCACATATTTCATATTTAACATTTGTCTTCTACCATAATCCTATCATTTTGGACTGTGTTATCAATGTAAACAGAAAAACATAATCTCAACAAATATTCAGAACTACTTTAAATGAATAGCTGCCAGCCGTAGGTTAATCCTATTATTGATAATGCGATAACATCTCATTTCCTGACAACATTTATGGCATAGTTCAAGGAAAAACATCTGAGCGTTTACAAAAAATAAATCTGAGTTAAAATATTTCAGTTAACTTCAAATTCAAACAATATGTGAGATTATTTATAAATGGCAGGAAAAGAGTTATTTACATAATACCGGTAATAATGGATGATACATAGCAACCAAAAGATTTCTTCCTTATGACACTGGTTATAGGAACACTACACAATACAACAGATTGTACAACACACCAGGGAGAACACTTGTACAGCAACACGGAGTGCAGATATTATCATCTGAACTGGTTGCATGGCAATAAAATAATTCAATTGCATAATCATGATAAATTGTTACTTATATCAAATTATTAGTCAGAAAAATATTCTAAACTGTGCATATATATTTTAAGCCTCAATTACAAAACATATATTCCCTTATAGACATAATGATCTGTTATAAAAACTTAATTACTGAGATAGCTTTTTTTAAGTTACAAATGTTACTGGATTAAGTGCATAAAGGTATCCTTAAATGCATTCATGGAACTTAATGCTTTAAGTGCAGTAAAGCAAAAAGCAGAAACTATTACAGATACAAATGTAAATAGTTGAAAATAGTTCTACACCAGAACATATGTATAGGCATATCAAAAGGTAGAGAATTCCCCCAAAATAGAAAAATAAGGAAAGGAGTATAAATACATGGTAAGTACAGCTCATTAAAAATTCTTTACACTGATGAACAATTTCAGTATGAATATTTGCACACTCAGCATGAACAGCCATGCAAAGAAATGTTTTACTTAGAAGTGCTGAAAAATTGCAGTGTCAGCAATCTTTTGTGTGATGTCCAACCCGACATTACACAAAACAAATTGTTAAAAATTTGCAATGGAAGTTATTTTGGGAGGGTTTTTTCTTGCAACTTATATTCCTTTCTTTACAAATCATCCAGAAATGTACATACCATACTACGTCTGAAAAACACTAATGTCATCAAATGATGACAAGGGTGTATGAAATCCTACCTGCTACGATCACGCCTGCGATTGCGCCAAACTTCCGCACAGTCTCGTGAGAAGTGGCCCTTCTCTCCACACTGGTAGCATCTCAGGTTGGGGTCAAACCCCCGCCTCCTCCTCCCTCGTGTCCTGGGACGTGCCATTGACACTCTCACCCTCCCTCCACACAAACCCCTGCAGGCAGAACAAGGATGATAAGCAGAGCTTGATTTAGCTATATAGAGTGAGTGAGTGAGTGAGTGAGTGAGTGAGTGAGTGAGTGAGTGAGTGAGGATTTACGCCGCTTTTAGCAATATTCCAGCAATATCACGGCAGGGGACACCAGAAATGGGCTTCACACATTGTACCCATGTCGGGAAACGAACCCGGGTCTTCGGCGTGATGAGCGGACGCTTTAACCACTAGGCTACCCGACCGCCCCTTAGCTATATAGAACATGCCCAAGTACAACTGACATGAATTATTGAAAAATGAGACCTCATATTTATGTCAACATGCCCTAAGTCCAACCTATTATTGAAAAATACAACCTCATATTTATGTCTACATGCACTAAATGCAACCTATTATTGAAAAATGCAACCTCATATTTATGTCAACATGCACTAAGTGCAACCTATTATTGAAAAATGCAACCTCATATTTATGTCCACATGCAATTTTTTAAAATTTGTCTCTAACCCTTCCTTGCCCACCAACATTTTAACACACTCAGTACTATACCATACTACATCACTAATTCTTGTGTTACGTGTAACTTGTCATGCTTTCTTAGGTTTGATTTCCATCTAACTTCAAGGTTTTGTGTACATGTTCCTATTATGTTTTACAGCAATGTGCCATCAATTTCTGTGACACTGGCAGCAGACTGGCCTATGTTTCAACTTTGATAAATTTATGGGACAAGAGTGCAACCTGTTTTTGTCAAGCACAACAAGGTTTTCAAATCAACATACACCTGGTGCAAGTTAAATCAAGTACCTTGAATCGAGTCCTGATAATGATTGTTAGTGGGTCATGTTGCATCTGTTTAAAAGGGACAGAATATTCGTGTATGTCACTCAGTAGACAGACAGTCACCACCACCTGCTGCAGGTGTTGACTGTTCCAAACACCAGGTTAATGCTACTTGTTAAAAGCTGAACTCAGCAATATTCCAGCTATATGATGGCGCCCTATAAATAATCAAGACTGGACAAGAAAATCCAGGGTCAGGTTTGAGGATCTGTAAACCCAGTTTACATGTTCCCAATGAATTCAGTCTTTCAACTATTCAAATTCTTTGTTTGTTGTTTAGGACCACACACAGTAATATTCCAGCCATATGACAGCCTAAAATTAAAAAAATTCTTGATGAGACAAGCCAATGATTGATGTGAACAATGATCCATACCATCCATGGGGTATGATGACATGCAATCAACAAAGTCACTGTCCCAATCCATTTGGGCACATAATCTGGTAAGCGACGCTCTGATTAGTCGGATGAGAGGTCGTTCTAATGTGACCCCTAATGGGATGTCTTCAGATCTTTGTTGAGCGGTAGCGAGAACTAAGGTCTGACTTTAATGAGATTGGTCAATATGTCAAATGTGTAGCCAGGGTCAACAGGTATGTGTGAGTAGGATTTTTACGCCATTTTTAGCAATATTCCAGCAATATCATGGCAGGGGGCACCGGAATTAGGCTTCACACATTGTACCCCTGTGGGGAATCAAACCCGGGTATTCAGCGTGACGAGTGAACGCTTTAACCACTAGGCTATCCCACTACTCCTCAACATTAAGAAAAGTTAAGCCTTATTCCAAAGTAGCCCTTAATACACACAACAAATTCAACATGCTCATGTTTATTGACGTGAGATGTTTATATCGCTCTGCCCGGACACAAGGCCTGTGACAACCTATACCAATGTAACTATTAGCTTGTTGAACATTATAGGGGTTCTACAATTTTACAGGTAACACACATATGATCTATAATGAATAATACCGTGCTTCTGTAATATAGATACCATGGTCTACTTACTTCCCGTCCATTTCTTTGATGGCCTTCTCGGCCTCGTCACGATACCTGTACACAATGAATGCAAAGCAGGGTGGGTTGCGAGCCAACCACATGTCGACAATCCGCCCATACTTCTCAAAAGACCTTACAATTTCATTCTTGGAAGGATCAATGCCAAGGTCAGCTACATGTATGCGTGACCCATCCTCGGGGCTAGGACTGCGACTGTAACTTCGACTGTAGCTCCGTCGTCTGTCACGACTACGTGAACGGCTCCTCGAACGCCCCATAGTGTGGCTTTGCCTTCCTCTCTCAAACCTGTAAAACAAGAACAATTGTTACAGTACTGGACGCTTATTGTATTTGTCACTGCATCCTGCCTGTTATTTGAGGTGATACTTTCACCAACTTCCTTATTGTGTGTCATTGTACAGCTAGTAATATAATCAGCACAAATCAGTGAAACAAAGATAGACGCACAGGTTTGTGCACAAGCCATGTCATCTTCAGAATGACCTCTGATTAATTAATTCATTTTCCTTTCATACATTAACACGATTAGAATTTCCTTTTCATGTAGCCATTAACTATAATGGGGACCTGTGTAGAATTGTGTCTCAACAAGAAAACCAGTGATTGATATGAACAACAATGGCTTCATGCTACCATGACAACCAAGTCACCGAGCCAGACACCTGATCCATTCAGCTACTTTATATGGCAAATATAGGTTTCTGGGGACCCTGATCCTAGATTGGGGGGGAGGAAGGTAGAGGGCGAGGAGGAAAGAGAAGGGGGGGGGGGGGAGAGAGTATAAAACTTGCAAGGACAGGTAATTTTTTTCCCCTGAGTCTAGTGCTCCAAAAGGCATGTTTGTGTGGCATGGCAAAACCAAATAATGATTTAATTGAGACAGTCAACCTTTCACATTTTCAACGGCAATGATGTGAAGCATATTCACACATCACAAAATTTACATAATAACAGCAGCATGCTTGTGTATTTGCCACACAGACAAACAGTTGCAACGTTTCAGGAAGTAGACCAATGTGAATCAGACCCCGATCATACTGAGCAGTTGATATGTTCTCACAACATATTATGTCAGAGTACCACAACTAAACCATAGAAATATTTTCCTTTGTGAAATGAGATCCTTCAAAATACCATTAGCATTGTGGTACAAGCTGCCTGTGCTGAATAGTTTGACATCAGTCTCACAGGCCTATCCTGTACAACTTAGACTGGCAATTATCATACATATCAGCCGGAATGGAAGTGCAGAGTTTCATTTGGCAAAATTTTCTTTCTATGGCCATTCTGTTTGATTTTGAATACTGCATTCAGCAATATTCCAGCTATATGATGGCGATCTGTAAATAATCGAGAATGGACAAGACAATCCAGTGATTGACATCATAAGCATCGATCCACACAATTGGGATATGATGGTTTTGTTTGTTTGTTGTTTAACGCCGCACTCAGCAATATTCCAGCCACATAATAGTGACTTGTAAAGAATCAAATCTGGACCTGACAATCCAGAGAACAATCCAGTGAACAATATTGTGAACAACAATGTACACTGTCAGGGTATGATAAGACTCCATCAACCAAGTCGCCGAGTCTGACCACCCGATCCATTATGTCATGTCTAATGACCAATGTGGATTGCAGGGGACCTATTCTAACCCTGAATGCCCAAGGGGACGAATAGCATGTGGTACTTGGGACCTACTCTGGCCCTGAATTCAAGAAGGGGAGAAGTAACAGCTCTAAAGCTGAAACATGTTGCATACCTTTAGAAAGTGAACTCTATTCACGTGTACCATATGTGCACGGTATGAACTGACAATACTGTATTAACTTAACAAAAGAAAAGAAATGATGAAATACCCATATTCTCAAATTGTGCTATGGAACTAATCAACTCCACCACTTGGTGCTATTGTTCAGCAGAATCAATATCTATTTTCATCCAGTTACAAACGTTTACAGCTTTCAAAGAAATAATTTCAGCATTCTGCAGATGCAAAGACCTGTGATAAGTTTACCCACCTGATACCTCTCAACATGTGACCATCATAAAATAAAGCAACTTTTATTTTCAAAGGTTTTGACCATTTCCATTTTATCTCGGTACCTGACTACAGCGGTACAGAGATGTCATGTTTAAGATTTCAGCCCTGTCGCAAGTTTTCTGTTACTTCTTGTGACATGGACCTACGAGGAGGGTCCTCTCGCCACAGTAACATTCTCGATGAGAGGCCATGTACTAAGGTAAGTGCTACTTTCTGCACCACTACATTCAAGATGTGCACTGAAAAGAATACTCGTTTCTACAACCATGCAGGTTAGAACAGATCTCTTTATGTTTGTTTGTTGTGTAAATTGTATACTGAGAGAAGCACTAGTTCCCATACCACCATCTTGATGTCAGATAATTTAATTAGAAAAGTGTTAGTTACCATGCCACAATATTGATCCCAGATCATTTAATGAGAAAAAGTGTTAGTTTCCACACAACTATCTTGATGACATAGGGTGTACTGATCGAAGTGCTAGTTTCCACACAACTATCTTTATAACAGATCATGTACTAAGCATGCTATGAGAAGAGTTGTTTCCATACAACTGTGTTCATAGCAGATAACAAAAAGAAAGAATTGCTAGTTTCCCCACAACTATCTCCATAACAGCTCAAGTAAAGAATGAACAAACGAATGAATGTATGTATGTACAGTCTTCACTATTCCAACCCACTGTCAAGGCAATGTACCAAGAGAAATGCTATTTTCAAATCAAACATTTTCATGAAAAACCATGCAATTTTGATCAGCAGTATTTTCTACTGACAGACATAAGATTACAAGGATGAACTGATTACTACACGACTATTTTCACAATGTGGCAAGCTGGAATTATTTTTATACCATGATAGTTCTTTTTTGATACACAAGTAATCAACTTAGTAACAAGCGAGTATTTCAAAATTAATTATTGAGAGCTTGGATCAAGCAAACCAGTGCTTGATAATGCAAACATCAATAACAAATGATTATTCAGGTCAGGTGCTGTTGTTATCTAATCGATAACAAACATGAGAAATGAGTCCATGAGTTGGGCATAATGTTTGGAAAAGCTCTAAGCATGCTAAGTGGATCAGGTTTAGTGGTGTAAAGCTAAGGGTTTTAATCAGGACAAACTCCTGAACAGCACATCCTGGCACAACTGGAGAGTGAGTTGATTTCACGCCCATTTTAGCAATATTCAAAACGGGGAATACCAGTATGGGTTTCACATGTTGTTACTCATGAAGGGATTCAAACTCATATCTGCGGCGTGACGGGAGAACGCCTCACCAGGCTACCCCACCACCCCTGACTTTCCACAACAAATTGCAATGATTTTGACCCATTTGCCATCTGCCCTCCCCACAACAACTGCATGTTGTGCAAACTCGTATCTCCTTGATAATTACTTCTCAACACATTTGCTACATGATACTGACCCCATTATCTCTTAACTTAAGGGTCATACACTGACATCTTCCAGATAGCCAACAATCCTTGAACCTATATGTATAAGCAAGTGGCTATAGAAGTACCTTATCCTGAAAACAAGTGGACAATTTTAGAAATTCCTATGGGTATCTTCCTTCCTCATATTAAAACATCACATGTATCTCACTGCACAGCACAACAATGACATTCAAGGCTTGTTCACAATGTAATAGATTGAAAACAAAATTGTTCACTGCTTTGACGATGATAATTATTATTATTTGTTCTCAATAATTCAACTAACAAACTTGCAGTGTTCATTCGAGTGAATGAGTGAGTGAGATGATGGAGGACACCAGACATGGGCTTCACACATTGTATACATGTGGGTAATACATCTTCCTGAGGCAAGGGAGTTAACTGACATAAAAGTCCAGTTTCCACCCTTGCCGAACAAGACTGGAATTTCTAGGCTCGATCGTAGCACCACCAATGGTTATACGAGTTATGTCCCTTCTATGTCCCTCCTACTGACCAATCAGAATCCACCTCTCATATCACTTGCATTTGCTTCAAACAAAATGGTGGCACCCAGTCAAGACGATATGATCAAGATCGATACTGTAATAAAATGGGTCCTTTTTCGCGAAGTGCATCAGATCACTCGGGCATCTTGATTAAAAACAAGAACTGACTTGGAAAACATCTGTTGACACTAAGCTGAAGGTACACATGCTTTGTAAATCCTGCAATCGACCGAAAACTACACGGCAGTTTACGAACCGGATGTCGATTTCATAACACGATTATGATTGGAGTATGCCTAGACTCGTTTGTCCAGCCAAAATGTAACTCCATAATTCAAGCCTAGTTCGACAAGGGGGGAAACTGGACTTTTATAGTCAGTCAGCTCCCTTGCCTTGAGAAGATGGGGGAATAGAGCACGGGCATTCAGCATAACTTGCGAATGCTTGGTCCACAAGGCTACACCGCCAACCTCTAGTTGCAGAAAATGTTGTGACAGTGGCGTGGGGTCAATGAAACAAAGACAACAAATTTTCTTGAATTAGAGAATGAGATGATGCTAGGCTCACTCTAACAGTCACTCTGTCCTCAACTGCCACTTCTTGTTTACCTTGATCAATTCCACAGATGCATCATCAATTTCCATACTTTTTACTCAATAGTAGGGCTGTTACGATTCACTCGCGTATTCGGTGAATCGAATTGTAACCATTCATGAATTGAATTCGTTATTCAGGGCCACTAGAATCGAATATTTATGAATATGCTATCATGTATATTTACATACCCTGTACCTAAAAATATCCATAACAACATATATGCATAGATTTCTTTCAATGACAACACTCTAATAATATTTAATTTGATAGTATTGTTTTCACTGGTCATTGTCTCATTTGAGCAGATACTAGTACCTGGATAAGTGCAGTATATAAATGTATAATTTATTAATAATTAACAAACCATGTCAAATAAATTATGTTGTTATTGTTTCACTGAATATAATAAATAATACATAAACTGCTGACTTGTTATTGTAATTGTGAATTAATATTCGTATTCGTTACCCTATATTCGTGATATGAATCGTATTCGCCTCATAGTGAATTTGTTGCAGCCCTACTCAATAGTGCTGTCAACCTTTTGCCACTACTGATTATCAGGCATGAGGGTAGGGAGCTTTACCCATGTTACCATAAGAGCCAATCAGAGAGCCTGTACCACATGATACTGCAATAGGCACATCCACTTCAAAGCTTTGCAACAAAAGCAATACTTAGTTCCTGATCTTATCTGGTATGGGATGAAGGTGTCATGCATTGGGATTGAGCTTGCTTCGTAACATGTTGTATACACACTGTTCCTCTCTGATGCAAGTGCACAGGCAAGTTGAGCAGTTGGTGAAAGCTTTTGTTACAAGTGCATGCTACATTCATGATTTGAAATAAATTTGTATTTGAAGCCATGTGTCCAACTGCTCAACTTATCTGATAATTCTTGTATCATGATTGAAACTGAGTGAGTGAGTGAGTGAGTGAGTGAGTATTTAAAGTCACATTGGCTATATTTCAGCCATATCGTGACTAAATCAAATTATACAATACATAAACTTTGAATAAAAAACGTGTTGACAAAGTACAATAAAAGAACTAGATTATCACAGACATAGGTTTAAAACTTGTAAATAACCATAAACTTTGACCATTCATAACAATACAATATAAAATTGGGCTATAAGTCACCAGGAACCAAAGTTAGGCCACCATACTGGGCACCATGGGGACTTACAGTACCTCTGCTACCTGCATGGACCCCAGTAAGATTTACACTATCCCTTTAGTCACTGGTCATTATGGAGAAGGTTAGCCAAAGATTAAAACAAACAAATATTCTTCAATTAAAACACATGAAATACTTTGAATGATGTGGGCTTACATACCCTCTCAGGGGGGTATTGAAACAGACACGTGCTAGAATAAACACTAAACTTGAACCATATTTGAACATGCCACTTGAACTAATCCTGATAAATCTCACAGGCAGAAATGAAACATGGCCATCACAATGATATTGAAACAATTAAATTGACTGGCAGATGTTGCCGGAGCACTATCTAGATCAGCCCAGAAACCTAACTCCAGTCTTCTCAAGCATATGTAGATACATTCATTCAGGTCACAGTATTCCCATCACTGGAACATATTCTAGTCACATACACAGGTGAGGTCAGGTGAAATTCGGTTTAACGTCGCGTCAAAGATTATTGCACTTGCGTGCATGTACGTGTGTGTGTTTGTGTGGCTGCTTGTACTCAATTTGAAACAAGCTTTATCTCATATTTCTGTTTCTATAAGAGATACAAACAATGTTTGGTGAGGTGAGGTGAGGTGAGGTGAGGTGAGGTGAGGTGAGGTGAGGTGAGGTGAGGTGAAATTTGGTTTAACGTCGCGTCCAAGATTATTGCACTTATAAAGCAATGTGCATGGATGTGTGTGTGTTTGTGTGGCTGCTTGTACTAGTCCAGACTGATGCCGATTTATAGTGCTAGCTCACTGAGATACCATGCCGCAGTTTAACATGAATGAGCCGATCAGTCCTTGTTTTAGCCCCTCAATGCCGAGTGCCAGACAGGGTAACAACAAGTACCATCTTTTAACATCTTTTGGTATGACACGGTTGGGGATTGTACCCCGGACCTTCCGCTCTCCGGGTGGACGCTCTACCACTAGACCATGGAGGCGGTCCGTCACATACACAGAGATCTGATAGGCCACACTTTCTTAATTGTATTGTTCATGAATTTATTCCAGCTTTTCCATACAAGGTCGGTCGAAATAAATATAAAAATAAATGGCTATGTCAATCATTTATTTATTGATATGAAAGTCAATGTGCTTTTGAGTCAAAACTGCAGCTGGACTCCTGAATCACTGATGGTGATGTAGACATGAAACATATATATAACATTCAATGTTGTATAAGAGGGTCTAGATTACTGGTGGTGATGTAGACATGAAACATATATATAACATTTAATGACCTGACTACCACATCCATTAAGTCACCTAACCTGACCACCACATCCATTTAGTCACCTAACCTGACCACCACATCCATTTAGTCACCTAACCTGACCACCACATCCATCAAGTCACCTAACCTGACCACCACATCCATTTAGTCACCTAACCTGACCACCACATCCATTTAGTCACCAAACCTGACCACCACATCCATTTAGTCACCTAACCT